ACGGCCAAAAATCCCCCCACCACCACCTCCAATCACGGTGGAAGGCGAACAACACTTTGAAATAAAGGAAATCCTTGACTCTAGGAGATATCATGGAGTGACTCAGTACCTAGTTGCCTGGAAACACCTCCCTGCCTCACAAAACGAGTGGGTCCATAAACGTCATATCAGAGCCCCGAAGCTATTAAAGAAGTTTCACACAGAATATCCTAACAAGCCTAACTAACTTTTATACCTGTTTTGTTTTCTTTCAGGTGGATCTGTTTTATTTTTGAGGGGGCAGGATGTCAGAATCCAATTATATTTCATCTCTAGTTATCAACTATAGAAAACCCCATTTCTGCCTTCTATGGATTCTGTCATATGATGAAGGGAAGGGGGTGAACAAAGGGGCTTTATGGCCCTCACTTCCTTCAGTACACTTCAAAGTGACTGAATGTGGATATCACCAAAAGGACTAACCATAAGAATGGGGCTATTACCTTTCATGTAGTTCTCTCTGAAGTCTCCATCCAGCCAGCAGTAAGGAAAAGGGGGTGGGAGTGTAATGCCTGAGAGTTTCGCTGGAAGAAGGGGGTGATTGGGTGGGGCTACTGGGGAACCCCTTAAAATCTTGAATGGGAGAGCTTGGACCCCCAAGTCCTGTCTAGAATGCCTGCAACCATTTTCTCTTAATAAAGGATGCCTGTTGGAAGAACTATTCCAAGAGTTCTGTCTTCTTAAGATGCAAAGTGGGGTGGGTCCTTAAGGCTTGGTCTTGTGCAGCCAGAATTAGTCCTTTGGTCTCTTTCTTCAATTTTCTTGCTCTTAGCCATTGCCAGGTCTTGTTAATATCTTTCCCAGCTATTTTTTTAATGTATTGGCCATGTAGTGCTTTGTCTTCCCATGCCTCTATTCTGTTTTTCATTTGGTCTTTCTTGTAGGCCAGTTTGGTCTCTCCAGTAGTCAGTAAGCCTTCCTGATATACTAATTTCAGTGCATCTTCATCATTGTTCTTCAGATATTCTTCCAAAGCCATTTTTTCTTCTTCAACCATCTGATGTACTTGTAGCATTCCACGCCTTGGTAGAAAAGTCTGTCAATGTCACTGCGTGGATGAAGGGCATGATTCATTGTCATTATTTTTCTGGTCTGCCTATCCATTGCTTTTAGTTCTGCTTGAGTCCAGTTCACTATTCCAGCTGTGTACCTAATGACTGGGATTACCCAGGTGTTGATTGCCTTTATGGTATTTCCTCCATTGAGTTTGGACTTTAAGATCTTCTTCACTCTCTTGATGTATTCACCTCTAATCTTTTTCTTGACTTCAGTGTGCTTGATGTTGTCAGCTTGAAGGATACCCAAGTATTTGTAGTAATTTATTATTATTATTATTATTATTATTATTATTATTATTATTATCATCATCATCATCATCATCATCTTTCCTTCCTATTTGTCATATCTTACCTATACACAAATCTTTAATACTTTCTTTCTTTCTTCAATACTTAGTGCAAAAAGTTTAAAAAGCAGGTTTAAGGACTTAATTCTTTAGGAATAAACAGAAAATGGGTGATTAGAACTTTGATTTTGGAAAGTTACAAATGGACTAAGGATAAAGATTGATTTGGAATAAGATTTTAGAATTAATTATAAGAAATCTTGCTATGGAAAGTACATTTAGAAAAACATGATTGGACACCTGGCAGTTTGAAAACTAGATGGAATTAAAAATTACAATTAAAGGAGAATACCACTTAAATTTGACTTACTAATACAGAATGGAGCAAATAATTTTTTTAGGGTATTATTATTTGTTTTATTATTTATTAAATTTGTTTGCTGCCCATTTTGCCAACGTGATGCTAGGTAGCTTACAATATTAAAATGAAATATACTTTTTAATAAGGAACCCAGAAATTAATTTGAAGCATGTATAGATAGACTGTGTTTCAAAGAATAGGAAAAAGTTTTACTGGACATGACAGACCAATCTGAAAATTGATAAGGAAAAAGGTGCTACATTGGGCAAAGATATACAACTGTCTGATGTGTTTATAATTTAAAAAGAAATAGAAATAACAAATCAACACATGATCTGGACAACTTTTTTATATTGGATTTACAAAAGAGTCATGTTAAACCTTTGAAGAATTTTATGAGAAGGGACAAAAAAAATGAAGAGAACTCAAGTTCTAGGATATCATTTAATTGGATTAAAGATAAATATTGTTACAAATAAAAGGAAAGAATATGAACTTGGTTTATTTGATCAAGGTCAAAATAGATACTTTTTTTTTAGATATGTTGTTATCTCTGGTAACCATTAATAGACTTTTGCTGATCAGGTCTGAACAACAAGGCTTTAGGCTTTGTTTATAGCCTAAAGAGAAGGGATATGGGAAGAAGAGATCATTTGTTGTGTTTCAACAGAAAGTGGTAAGTTACTAGAATTGTTTATACTTGTTGTGGAAAGGGTGAAGTTATTTCTTTATATACTTCTTTTCTTTACTACATTCTTTTCTATTTTTCTATTTTTTTTCTTTTCTTCACTTTCTATTTTTATTTCTTTTTGATTGTATTACATTCTTTTTAACTGTAATTTCTAATAACATTACTATAAAAAATAAAATAAAATTTGGAAACTGGTTATTAATAAATACATCATGGGGACAAGTTACATAATCCAATTAGCCTTCTACAGATAGAACCTTTTGTTTCAAAATTAAATTGCTCTAACCCCAGTGGCAAGAGATCATCTGGTTGACACTGTAAGATGCAGAATACATTGTTCAATTGGCTGATCCAGCAGGGCTTTTGGGGGGGGGTGTTACAGGTCCCACAGGAATCAGTGGAGTTTTCTTCTGAAATAACTAAAGCTATCACTATCTTCAAATGCAGCCATTTATAATATGTTGCATCCATCTAGCTTGGATATTAGAAAATTACAAACTTATTTCTGATTAATCAGATTCTATTTAAAGAAGAAGAATAGTACATCACCTCCCTTAAAAGATTTAAAACAGAACTTCTGACTATCAATATATCTTCCTGGGAGGAATCTATTCCTCTTAGCAGTAGTTAACCCAGTGCTGCTTTTTTTCTTTCTTTTTCCTTCCTGCTTTCCTCCCCTTAATGTGCTTAAGCTAGTAATGTAACGTGATTATCAAACCAAAGCTAGTAGAAGGTAAGACACTGTAAGAGTTCACTGTTTCCTCACTTCTGCTCTGCATTACACATTAATTTTCTGTATCTTTCTAAGTCATCTCACACAGTTACAATATATAAACAAAATTACTATTTTCAAGAGATTTTTCTTCTTCCTATGGAAGGGAGAAATATTGTCCTTCTAATTCAGCCATATTTTAAAGTTTCATACAAACACATACGACCACAATTTATGTAAGGCTCAAGGTAAACCTAAAACAAACACAGATGTCCAAATATATATAGCTTCCCCCCTCCCCGATTAGTTCAACTGACTCCAGGGTAAGCAATTAACTTCAAAGGAACTACTGTAGAATACGTGATTTGAGGACTGCCATTCATAGATGGTTTAACAGAAACATTTTTAAAAAAACAAAAATGAACCTTTCATCAAACCTATGCTTATGATTGTTTTTTTCAAGTTAAGAGTGCTTTTTCTTTATTCATTGGAGCTTTCCATAAGCCAAGAGGTAGGATTTGAAGGCCTCTTCCATCATGTTCCCACAAATCAGAGACAGGAAATAGAAAATGTCACACATTCACATGAAAAAAGGCTATAGAAATCATATAACTACTTTAAATATTTTCCTTCTGATGCTTTACGTAAAGCATTCTCCTCTTTCCAACTATCAAAACTGTCCATATTACCTTCAGGATAACCAAAGCATACAGAAAGCCCCCCTCTCCCTGGAGTTCTTCTCACTCAAAAGCAGCCAGGCCTTGAATAGTAAGGACCAATCTAGATAGGAACTCTCATCCACCTCTACTGTCCTCATTTCTTAATTTACATTCTTTTTAATGTAATCTTTGAGTGAGGTAAATGATAACTGACCTTAACACAATTTGATGACTATTATAAGGAAAATTTAAATGAGCCCTGATGGGTATGTACTCCTTCTGGAGATGTGCCCACCTAGGTTTCAAATGTAGCACCAACTGTCATCCAGAATATCTTTCTAGCTTGCAGAGGTACTGAGATGTTATTTGTGAGATTGGGCTATAGGAAGCAGATGGGAATATTGTCTCTGCACCAGAATGCAACACACCATCACAAGTGAAATTTCCCAGATGTATGATATTGGGAGACCTCAACTTGTCTAACCTGAGTATAATATCAATCATGTTACTTCAGTGGTTCTCAACTTGTGGGTCGGGACCCCATTTGGGGTCGAACGATCATTTCACAGGGGTCGCCAAACAAGGCTGTCCGCCATTTTTTCCCCCTTTTCTTTGGCCACGCCCCTGGCACCCGGTGATGTATAAGTGGTTGGGGGTCACCATAACACGGGGAACTGTATTATGGGGTCGCGGCATTAGAAAGGCTGAGAACCACTGTGTTACTTGATGGTTTATGGTGGGACTGGAATTGGAGGGGGGACAAGCGCATTTGTTCTAATCTTCTGGTTAGATCAAGGAATTGGGATTGGGAGATACAATATTGCAGTAGTTCTCTTTTTTCCTTCAGGGCTGTTTTATGGACCACCATGGGATTCAACACTTTCCCCTATGTTAGCCAGCACAAATGCATTGGCATGATTAATTAACTGCTTTTAAAGTGAACTATGTTGAGGATGGGCAACTGATTTTTTGTAGAATATGGGATTAATCCAGTTTTAAGTGTTAATTTAATATTAATTTAATCTTTATGTAGCTAGCTATCACTTTGTGTATTATCAATTAGTTTATTGATTCATGGTTTAATATATTGTAAAAACGCAGCCACAGAATCTCATTGAAGCCCATGCATGAAGTATGTTTAAAAACTGTTTTACTTTGATGAGTAATATCAATCTTAAGGAAAATGTGCCAACCTGGAACAGTAATCTTCCCTACTGTTGGATGCTCCATCTCCATCATAAGTTTATTGTGCAGGACCTAAAACATAATAATAAATAAAAACAGTGTAATGAGGGTGATTTTAAAAACATTTTAAAGTCAATAATATAGAAGACCATTATTACATATATGGCACTGCAACACTCAGAACTTTGCACAAAGATCATAAATTCCTTTGTTCAGTATTGTCATAACAATCACTGAATAAATGGTCATAAGTTGAGGACTATCCATAGAGGATTCTGGAAGGAAATTTCTCAATTATTTCAAGAATTTTTACTGGTAACATAAAACTGACTTAGCAGGTGTATAGTTTAAAGATAGTGCGTAACTAACAGGGCAGATCATAAATTTCCCCCAAACTTACACATTTAACGTGATTAAAATTAAACAGCCACATGCATCTCTATGTTTTCTCAGTTCATGGCATCTCTGAACAGCTGATTTGCATTTTTGTACAGGGCTGGAACTGAGTTTTAATATAATAACAAATTTGGCTATTTTTTGAGCAATGCAGAAACTCTTTCTTTTTTGGATTATGTCAACATTTTAAATGATTTTATAAGTAATTCAACTAGTTAGCATATGTTCCAGATATACATGGGCAGATGTACATTTTGTATATATAAAAGCAAAAGATGAGCTTCTTCAATAACATTACTACCACAGACCAAGATGTATTCAGGCTGCACAATGATCCAGATTTGAAGGAGAATAGGCAATTCTAAGTTTGCTTGAATATATATTATTAGTTTGCTTGAATATATATTATTTGCATGTGCTTCCATTTCTTTAAAGATTTATATCGATGAGCTCATTAGGCTATTGTGTTTTAATCTGGATCACTACCCATCCCTACAAAATGATATAACAATACAATGAACCCTGAATATGCACTCCTTTTTTCATGTCAAGAACTGTGACAGCAATCTTTCTACAGGATTGAATTGTGGGGTCCTTGGTGCTTTTTGAACTTGCTTTCTGGCAGATGTTTCATTACCAAATTAGGTAACATTATTAGTGCAAGAAGGGAGTGGGGTTTGATCTCATTTTATATATTAGTGACTTGACCAGACAGCGTTGGTGGGATTGGTTCTGGTGGTTCCCTAATTAGGCTGTTGTGAAACATTTAGCTCATTTGTTTGTATTGGTAGTTCCTTGCTTGAGATATTGTTTCATTCTTGATTGTTGGTATAGTATTAATTTTGATGTTAATCTCTGCTCATCTGGGTGTTGATTGCTGTGAGGAGATGTTTTGGTCTTTTTGTTTCCTTTTAGGTTTTTCACAGCTAGTATTGGTTGTGCTATAGTAGATTGAGTGGTCAGACACTTTTTGAAAAAGTCAGATGGGTATCTGTTTAACTGAAAGATGTAAAGATGATCTGTTTCTTTTTTCTGACGTTCAGAGATGCTGAAGAGTTTGAACTCATCTAAATAGTGTTCTTACATAGCTTCTCTTGTAGGAGATTGGGTTGTTACTTTGATAGTAGAGCACTTGGTTGGTGTAGGTAGTTTTAAGATAGGCATGTGCCTTTCTTGGTATGGATATCCAGGAATGGTAGTGTGTTCTTGTTTTCTTTTTCCATAGTGAATTTTATTCCTTCAAAGATGTTGATGATTTTATGTATGTTCTCTAGTTAATCATCTATGTGCCAGAACCATACTTTGGGTTGTATGCATAAGAATACTATAGGCATTACATTACAGTCTCTTTTATTAGTTCTGAAAGCAGTAATCCCATGGGTATTCCTTTGATTTGTTAATATATTTCTCCATCAAATTGTAAAAAAAGGTGGTTAGGCAAAGATTGATAAAATCCACGATACTGGGTATTTCAATCCTGGTGTATTTGATTAGGTCAAGTGTACTGTGTAGTGGTACTGTCATGGATTCTGACTAATTCTAGCTCTGTGGATATGACATCAAATAAGACCATGATTTCATCTTCTATTTTCACACCTTTTATTCCTTGGAGATACTGCAGTGGGCAATTGATGGAGTATTTGCTGCCCTGATTGGTAAACTTTTTTGTCAATTTTTAGCGATGTTATAGGTTGAGGTCTCTGGTAATGATACAATTGAATAGAGAAGTATGTCTGGCTTATGTGTTTTGGGACATCCCATCCATAGAAGTATGGAAGGATGGATCCACTACTTTTCATCTGCCACTGGTCTTCTTTGGTGATTTCACCTTCTTTGGTGAAGTAACTAAGATTTATCAAGTTTCTGTATTGGATTGATGTTCACTGGAATGAAAGTTTCTTTGTCTTCTAATAATTCTTTCACTTTTTGTTTATATTATTCATGACAACAGTGTTGGAACTTTGTTTGCTGATAGGATGGCGATAATTTGGTCCTTCTTTGAGTTTTTAAGGGCTATTCTGTCCCCTGCTTTGAGTTGGTTTTGTTCTTGTCTTCTTCTGATTTGTGGTATGATTGTTTGATGCTTTCTTCGGTCTCTGTGGGAAGGTCTGTGGTTTTAAATGCTCATTCTAAGGCTGCAAAGAATTCTAGTTGATTAGCATCGTCTGTGTTATAGTTCAGGCCTTTCTGTGTTCTGCGGTCGATAGTGGGTGGCTGGACATGTTGACCACCCAGTTGAAGCTCATCTAGAAACAACAATCCCACACTCTCTAGTTTCATACTAAAATATGAAACAGCTGTCAGGCAGATGTTCAAATGTACACATATTCTAGAAACAGTTAGATGAATAATGTTTTCATTAGTTATTATTACCAGTAACTGAAATGAAATTGTGCTTTTCATCAAATCAATTTCTGAACTAAAAATTAATGTACACTCAGTTCCCCATAATTTTGTTCTCTGATGGACTATTTTCTCACTTTATTTTGAAATTTTCATTGCTGGAAATTTTCTCATTTTATTCTGAAACATTTCATTAACATTTCATTAATATTTTTATAGCAGTACTGTTTTGCTATCTTATAGCATTTTTAGTCAACTTTATTAAACTAAAACTTTGGCATCTATATAATTTGTTTTATTGATATAAAATACAATATTCTTTTGTTTATTATTGCATATCGTACTTTTATTTGCCTAAAATGTATGGTATTTCAATAATCAATAGTTTCAGTAATATATACACACCAATAATTAATTGTTATTTTAAACATAACATTAAACATTAAACCCTAACCATGAAATCATTTTTTTTCCTCCTAGGTTTCAAACTATTTAAAAATAAATTCATGTCACTAGATGCTTGATCTTTATGTCAAACTATTGGGTGGTATTTGTCGTATTTATTCTCATGCAAAAAGAAACTATAGCACAACCTATCAAAATTTGTCTGACATGATCTCTTTTTGACAAACCCAAGTTGGCTTTTAGTAATGACTTTGTTTGCCTCTAGTTGTTCACTGATTCGTTGTTTGATTATCTTTTCCAGAATCTTCCCAGGTATTGAGGTCAGGCTGATAGGTCTGTAATTTCCTGGATCCATTTTTTTCTCTTTTTTTGAAGATGGGAACTACATCAGCTCTTTTCCAGTCCTCTGGTAGTTCCCCAGTGCTCCAGGATCTTTGAAAAATATAGTTCAGTGGTTCTGAGATCACATCTGTCAGTTCCTTGAGAACCTTGGGATGTAATCCATCTGGTCCTGGTGATTTGAACTCATCTAGGCTGGACAGGTGCTCACTTACCATTTTCTTGCCTATCTTAACTTGTGTTTCTATTCTGTTTTTTATGGCACTATTTTTGATAGGTTGGTCTGTTTTTCCCCTTTGTATAAAGACAGATGCAAAAAATGAGTTAAATAGTTCTGCTTTCTCCCTATTGCTTGTCACCTTCTTGCCACTTTCACCCACTAATGGACCAATCATTTCCTTCACTTTTTTTCTTGTTTTTTACATGTTGAAAGAAGCTTTTTTTGTTATTTTTGACTTTGGTCACAAGCCTTAGTTCATTATGAGCCTTAGCTTTCCTCACTTCATCTTTGCAGGCTCGGGCTATTTGCTGATATTCTGACTTAGTTATGTGCCCCTCTTTCCACTTTCTATACTTGTCCTTTTTATCTTTCAATTTATCAGAGAGTTCTTTATGCAGCCATGCTGGTTTCTTTTGAGAGCTGTTATTTTTCTTCTTTGTTGCTATTGTGCTAGACTGGGCTTTTATTATCTCACTTTTCAAAATTTCCCAAGCTTCTTGAGTTGTTTTCCTCTTGAGGATTCTCATCCATGGAATCCTTCCCAAGCCCTCTCTAAGTTTATTGAAATCAGCTCTCTTAAAGTCCAAGACTCTAGTTTGATTGTGTTCTATTGCTTGTGCTTCCATAATGTTGAATTCCAATACTGCATGATCACTTCCTCCCAAGGTTCCTGTGGCTTCAATACCTTCTATCATTTCATCTCTGTTAGTGAGAATTAGATCCAAAATGGCTAATTCCCTAGTTCCCTTCTCTACTTTTCGGGAGACAAAGTTGTCTGCTAGGTTTGTCAGGAATCTGTTTGATTCCACTTGGTGCAGAGTTTGTCTCCCAGTTGATGTCAGGGTAGTTAAAGTCCCCCATTACTATTGTGATGTGCTTCCTACATACCTTAATTAGCTGACTAGCAAAAAGTTCATCTACTTCCTCTGTTTGGTTGGGTGGCCTGTAGTATACACCTATGGCAATGTCACTTTTTCTCCCTTTTATATTGACCCAAATGCATTCATCATTGTTGTGCTCTGTAGAGATGTAATTATTTCTTATATAGAGAGCAACTCCACCTCCTCTTTTATTTGGTCTGTTTCTTTTAAATAATTTATCTTCATAAAGATAAATTTTATGACTTATACGAGAGAATAGAAGGGGAATTCATCAAATCTGCAGATGACACTAAGCTGGCAGGAGTAGCTAATACCCAGAAAACAAACTCGGGGTCCAAAAAGATCTTGATGGACTTGAACAACGGGTCCTAGTCAATAACATGAAATTTAATATGGAGAAAAGCAAGGTTTTACACTTAGGCAGGAAAAACAAAGATACAGATTAGGCAAAACCTGACTCAAAAAACGTAACTGTGAGAGGGACCTTG